AATATTTTATTATTTACAAATATTTATTGTTATCAAACTTTTATTACAATACATTTTAAATATTAACAATAAATATGTTTACTAAAATACATAAATAATTTAATATAAAATGTTATTATTTATTATGATATATGCAAATAATAATAAAAATTTACCAAATATCATTTGTAAATAATTATGTTTAATAATAATTTTAAATAAAATGTAAGACTTTTTACCCCCAAAAATAGTTTCTAACTTACATAAATTAATAATAAAAACATATATGTAAATAATAAGAAATATTTAATAATATGTATATAATTAAATGCAATAATGTAAATAAATAATACTGTACTAGAACGAATGCTTGACTTTACCATCTCTGTGGGCAGGCAGCTGAGGGGGCGGAGCTTCTTTAGCCTCGGCCTCGTCTCCGCTGCTGTCCAGACAGATCACTTCTTGTTTGGGACCTGGCGCTGCAGTGGATAGATCTGACAACGGTGACAACACAACAAATTAACTAATTACAATACCAACAATTCTGCAGAGGAGCAGTGGAGGGCAGAGGCGAGTCTCACCTGCGTGAAGGGGGAAGTCTTTCCGCTGCTGTTCGAGACGCCGCCGTCGCTCGAGCTCCTGCTGCTGGGCGGCTTTGGTTCCCGCTTCCAGCTGGTGCTCCTTAAGGACCTTCCTGCATGTTGGAGGGGAGAGATGCAATTAGCAGGGAGACAAATGATTGTAATTATAAGTGTGACGTGATTAACAAACACAAAGGGCAAGTTCTGGACCAATAAGGGTTTACTGTGAGCAATTATGACCAAAATAAAAACCGAGACAAACAACACTTCCTGTTGTGAGATGCTTATTGTGTCTGGTTAGCATTAAGAAGACAAGAGGAAGTCGGAAGTAAAAACTTCTTACTTCTCTATTGGGAAATTGATTTTTAACTTATAAACCTTTACAGACAGATGTGTTGTAAATTATGAGGTTGTTAATTAAAGGTATATGCTTTTGTTGAAGCCATCTATTCATATTAATTCAACTTATTTTTAAAATCATGATTAACAGCTGAATTTGTGGTGAAAAACTACATTACCCATAATTTTCTATACAGAAAATTCCACCAATCAGAAACTTGAGATGCTATGCTGTGAAAACACTTAAATATTTGCATGCATATGCGTATTTTGCAATATTGTAGTTGAATTTTGCAGTTAATTGATCAGATTGAGAATTGCAAGCATGTTCTGTAATACAGCTTTTCTGAAATGTTACGTTTAAATACACAAATTAAGCAATAACTAATTGAATATGCACTAATTTGGATACATTTTCCAGAACACTGGATAAAGCCAGATTCAAAATTCTTGTTTCATTTTGTTGACATACTAGAGTCAAAGGTTTTTTACTGAGGGGATTTTGGATATCTCCTTTTATCACTCCATAAATCACAAAATACTGTCAACTGCTAGAAAAAATACATTTTAACCATGTTTTTAGGAATCAAATGTTATAAAAAAACAAAGCATGTGTTATATGAGCAAACCCCACAGTAAAATCCTTCAGAATATAGATGGGAATAAAACGGTAAGTTTTGGTTTATGTAAGTGCTACTGAAGTGGAGGAAAAACTTTTTTCAGATAAAACGCCCTTTAAATATATGCATTGTAATTGATACAGACTAGGGATGTAACGATTCACTCAAATCATGATTCGATTCACGATTTTTTTTTTTTACAAAATGAGATTTAAGACAAATTATAAATTAAATGTGTCCTTTAATTATTGCTTGGACAAAATGCTGCACGTTTCTTTGTGAAATTGAAATATAACACTATAATAATATACTAATATAGCACTTGCATATTATTGCTCTTTTGTTGGTTTTGATTGCTTCTATTGTCCTCATTTGTAAGTTGCTTAGGATAAAAGCGTCTGCTAAATGACAAAATTTAAATATAATGTAAATGTAAATAACAAAACTAAATTGAAATTTTAAAACAAGCCCCAAATCAAATAAATAAGTAACACCAATAAAATAAATCTCTTCATATAAACAAAATAAGGCTTTGTCTGTGCTCTTTCCATTTAAAATGAGAGACAACCACTGCATTTTAATCACGATCCAAACAAAGACTCTGCATACATGCAGCATGAGCAGTTTTTAATCTAAATTAGATTGCATAATTTCGAAATACGAAGCAAAAACAGAATGGTTTGACTTCAGTTTTGTGAAACTATACATAAAAAATATCTGCATGAAACAGAAACAGCAGAGCTGAATGAGACGCAGATTCACTCTTTGCCAGCAGGTGGCGCTTAAACCGGTTCTTGGTTTCCGCTGTAAACAAAGCAGCGCTGCACTTATGAATTTTAATATGCATTATACAGAGGCAAGATGAAAAGAAAAAATACCATCTAAACTTTTCTAAAGACAGTAAGTTCCCCTTAGACATACATTCATATAAACTCCTACACCTAAATGAATCGCGATTTGTTTAGCATCTCAACCGATTTGAATCGTCACATATTTTAATCGAATTTTAACCAGTTCGTGGTTAATCATTACATCCCTAATACACAGTTAAAGTGTAATAAAAAAAATAACACTTCAAAGTGTATTTAGAAAATTTTCTTTCCACTAGTCTAAAACTACATGTTATGAAAGCCAAATAACCCAAAAACTCAAATTTTGAACTCAAAAAATTAAAAAACAATGTTTTGTCTGTAGTGTCTGGTCTGAAAATATATTGTTTCTATGGATAAAATCAACAACTTTATACGAGTAGTTTTTTATTCCACCATTGATTTTAAAGTCCGCGTGAACCGGAAGTTGCTGCCGACTTTATTTCAGTGTAGTGACGTATTTCCAGCTGAAACAGAATATTGAATAGAGGGCATGGTTTTATGTTTGCGCTCCTCCTCTGTCTCTCACTCATTGCAACCTAACAGTTGGAGGGGTGTGTTTAAGGATATTCTGCCCAAGCCGTCAAACTGACGTCATCAGAAAAGGAATGCCATTCCAGAGCGGAAGTAAATGTTCAGATTTTGATTAAAGATTACGAAGACAAAGAATTGTTTTCAGCGGATTAACTTACACGGATTAATTGTTCACATCATTACTAGCAATGTGCGCTAGTAAAGTAAATAAAGTCAATTTTGATTTCATGCCGACTTTAATTCAATTATGTCATTTGCGATGCTTCATGGGATTGTAGTTCTTTCCCACATTAAAGGTGCAATAGGTGATTGTCTTCAGAAACATTTTTTGTTATGCTGGTTGAAAGTCTCTTCACATCCCGATAGCAATCATTAAGTTAAGTGGTCTAAATGTATTTATCTGTATTTATATATTCTGTGGAAGGCGTAGGACAAAGAAATGTTCGTCCAATCAAAACGCTCGGTCCGAGCATACATACTGTATTAGCATACCTCTGCGCACCCGGTTCGAGCAGACAGGATATGTCATCAGCGCGTTCATGCACGCTGTGCAGACAGAGCGAGAATGGCAGACAAACATCAACAACCCGATCTTCCTTCCTGGTATTGTAGTACTTTTAAAGTTTTCTCACCGGTGAATGACACATGATGTAGCCCAGCGGTTCCCAATTCCGGTGCTCGCGCCCCCCAGCTCTGCATATTTTGCATGTCTCGCTTAGTTAACACACCCGATTCAGATAACCAGCTCGTTAGAAGAGAGCTACGTGCATGAACTGTGTTCCGATCGATATGATCCCTACACAGTGTTCATTGCTCCCTACTCTCTGAGCAGGGGATATCCGTTGAAGTTTACTTCACTTCAGAACATTCATTCACGGATTTGCGCTGCGCAGCATCTTCACACACGTCTTCACATCCAGTGCGAGGACTGGAATTGGGAACCGCCGATGTAGCCTATTGTAGTAATGTTGTCTCTGGTATTCTGGTCTGTGAGCGACGAGCGTATATATGCGTTCAGGGGGCGTGGCTTTGGACGGCGATTACAGGTAGGGTGGGACGTTCACTTTCAGTGCTATCAGGCTAAAGTTAGCATTTTCCAAGATCTCCTATTGCACCTTTAAGTACACAGTCTTGTACCTTTATCTTTTTGTCTTTGTTGCTTTATTACTTTATTGCTTCAAATCAAAGTTTGTAATGTTGTGATTCACTTCGCAGCTGGTTACTTTGATTATTGGCTTATAGAGTTTTGACAAAAATGTTTAAAAAATAAAATTTAAATTAAAATAACTTCTGGAACCTCAGCTAAAAAAAAAAAAAAAAAGTGGACAGGAAGTAATGCATTATCATTAAACGAAGCTCCATACCGGATGTTCCTCCTCAAGTGAGCAGGTTTAGAGGTTTTGGACTTCTTCTTGGTGTTGCTGTTGGCAGACGTGTTGCTGCAGCTGTCTGGGCTGGATGGGGGTTGAGAACCGGGCCGTGATGACGTCCATGAGGTGGACGAGGGCTGGGAGGCAGGCCGAGAGGTGGGCTCAGGGCTGGAGTCTCTAGACATCGGTGAGGTAGGTGCCGGGCTGGTCAGATCTCTTTGATCCTCGGCCTCCAGGCTCTCAAGCTGGTCTGTAGAGAGGAAATACCAAGCGATCAATAATTGATTCACAGACTGAAAGCAGAGCGCACACATTAGCGACGATACTTTTATCCTCATGAAAACATGTCTTATTCGATGAAACTACAAACAGGTGTTTGGTTGAGAAAGATGGTGGTGTGAATTGAAAAAGGTGCTCACCGCCTGCGTCTTCCTCATCATCCCCATCGTTCTCTCCATCCTCTTCCTCCTCTATCTCCGCTTCCTCCTCGCTGTTAAGGCTGGGCTCCAGGTCGCTCCCTGAGATCGCCTCTTCTGACATGGCGTCCCCTGGGTTTCCAAGAGCATTACTTACACATCTTCATTCAAACCACCTGAAGAGCAAACACAGTTTTACCGTTTTCACAAAAATATGAAGCTGCACAACAATTTTCAAAAATGTTTCTTGAGCAGCAAATCAGCATATTAGAATTAGAGATGCACCGATCGACCGGCCAGGGACCGGAATTAGCGAATTCAGATTTTCCGAATTCCTGCCGATTCCGAGTCGGTCTGTTTTGACGTCACACTTACGGTGACTGAATGTATTCATGTTGTGCCAGATGAGGCTTGCGCAGGCTGAGTGTGACAGAGACGCATGCAGAAATCAAAACAAATGAGTGCAACAGCACACACAGAAACTTATAAATGCATACTGCGGTAGTAAAAAAAAAAAATAATTAATTCGTAATATATGATTTAGGTACGCAACATTGCACGACCAAAATGTTTCAACACGATTGCAATGTGATTTTATACAATAGTATTTCAATAAAAAAAAGTTAAAATTAAGTGAATTACATTTTAGACACATTATTGACATTTCGCTGATGAAAATTGTTCCAAACAAAGCCACAGCAGAACTGTTTTGTGTCTCTGAGCAACATGATGGTGTTTCTTAAAGGGTTAGTTCACCCAAAAATGAAAATTAGCCCATAAATTCCTTTCAGACACATCCAGTCGGAGTTATATTTAAAATTGTCTTTGATCTTTCAAGCTGTTTAATGTCACTCAGCATGTGTTGTAGTGCATCAGTCCAAAAGAAGTGAAATAAAAAGCGCCCATCCTTAATAAAAAGTGCCTCACACAGCTCCGGGGGGTGAACAAAGTCCTCCTGTAGCAAATCGATGTGTTTTTGTAAGAAAAATAACCATATGTAAAACGTAATAATCAATTTAATCTAGCTTGCGCTCACTGTTGTACATGGAAGCAGCTCCGGGCGGATGACGTATGAGTTCAGCGTTGCGCATGCGCCGCTCAGAAGTGACTAACGCAGAAGCGCAGGGGAGAGAAACAAAACAACGGTCACTACTTAGAAGTACAAAACGAGGATTTGTAAAGAAGATTGTCAGAAGTAGGCCTGGGCGATAAAATGGTATCGATATTTATCGATGGTGCACCTTCTTCGATATCGATAGAAAAAAACACACAAACACGAACACATGCTGAAATGAGTGCTGTGCCTTCCTGTGATGCGGAGATTGTGAATAAAGAATGAATATTAGTCGAATTTAAAATAAACATTTGCATTTGAATGTTAGGTGTGCATCAGGGAGCGTAATCAGTGGTGAACGAGATGCGGTGATGTAAGTGACGTTGTTGCATTTTTTAATGTTTTGTTAGTCTAGCCCACGAGACGTGCTGCTGCTGCGTTATTCATTCAAAATATTAGAGCTCAATGCGGAGAAGATCTTGAATGGGTTAAAACCGAAACCAAGCCATTCACACAGAACGCATATTCAGCGCATTTTTTAGACGGACAAATATGACTGCTGCTCTCGCGTCTCACAGAAGAGATGTATAAAAAGCCATGCAAAGTTAAAACAGTTTAAACTTTTAGAAAGCACATCACGAATTTGTGGAGGTTTATTCCTTTTCACTGCGACTCGTATGTTTTTAAATGCAGTCTGTGTGAATGGCGCTTCGGCTCTTTGGATTAAGCAATGCATAAATACATGATGCTGTTTTGTTCATAATTGTTTATGCAATTTACGAAATTATATTTGATTTTTATGAGTTCATTTAGACGTAATGCACGTTTTTATAGAGTTATGCATTAGCATTATTTTGCTCATTGCGCCCTCCTGTGGTCTCGGAAGACAATTAGACCTATACAATAAAGACCTATTTAATCTGCATATAAAACATTAGAAATGAGATATTTGTTTAGTTTTCATAGTGTTTGATTGTTAAAACAAAAAATATTTGTTGTTTGTCTCAATAAATTGTGTTAATTATAAATACAGTGGTTAAATAAAAAAAAAAAAATTCCTATTGCTTTTTGTTTTAAAAAAGGTTATAAAAAATGTTAACAAGCTAGAAATTATAAAACTACAAGGTAATTCCTAAAAAAATCATAAACATGCTTCTGCTGGAAAATGATGACATATTGGGCAGTGATTGAAATGAACACACAAGATCAACGTATGCAAATATTTTAGTGGCAATAGAGAACTAGCCCCAAACTTGTGAATTTATCAGCATAAGCCAAAAAAAAAAAACATACTGGCTACTATGTTTACTTTTCAGCTAAGAGGGAACAAACAATGCAAAATTGTAACTACAGAACTAAACAGTAGAATTTAGCATTGTGTAATTCACTTTAAACTAGGCGATTCTCAGCTGTAATCAAACATCAGAGTTCAGCAACAGGAGAACAAAGAGCAACCAAAGAACTCTAATCAAAAAAAAAAAAAAGTGTAAAGAGAAGAAACAAAGAACTAGAAGAAGAAGAAACAGAAGAGGGAGGACAGGGAGCAAGAGATTCAGGCTTCTTACATAAGTGCGGGTTATATAAGAGAAGGGAGCGAGCACTTGGCAGGCAGTGAGTGGTGTGAATGTAGGCCACGCTGCCCGTGACACACTGACACATTCACACAGTACAGCACAGCCTGTTCCAAAACACACACTCATCCGCTCCACCCCGCTCCTTCACACCGCACCTGCCTCATCTGCTTTTTTTTTTTTTGGTACTTTAAGCGAGATCTCCAGCTGTCTTCATAAACCCGTATCATTTTTCAGTCTCCCGTGAAACACAAAGGAAAGGAATTATGCCGTTGTCCTGGATGATTTTGTCCATACAAAGAAAGCGAATGAGGCTGGATGCTGTCGAGCATATATATAGTAATTTTATATAATTTTACATAGTTACATATAGTTTAATTAGGGTTGGGCCGATAGATGATGCCATCGTCCATCGCCAATGGCTGATAGACATCACGATGTTGAACATTTTATATGCATCGTGTTTTCCCTTATAAGGATTCACGCTTCGGACACTCACCTCTCCCCCCGCTCGCCCCCTGCTGATGTCATCGTCCATCGCAATGTTTCACTGTAGACATCGCCCAACCCTAGTTTTAATTACACAGTTTATAGTTTTACACACACATAGATATATAGATAAAAATAAAATTTAAAGATTTTTACACACACACACATATAGAAGAAAATATTTTATATATATATATAT